GAAGTGTTGGAGAAAGATGTAGGGCTTGATGCTTTGCCTCCTTCTTACATAAAGGGTTGCGCTGCAGTCAAAAGACGAAGAGACAAAATCAAGGCGGCTAAGTCACGGATTAACGCGATACAACATCCTTCTGAGGTAGTTAGTGAAAGTGAGGTGTCTTCAGAGCTTGAACATAGCAAGAAGAAAAGGAAGATAGGATCTGAAATCGATTGGGAAGATTTGATTATACAAACTCTGGTCTTACACAATGTGAATGACGAAGAAATCGAAAAGGGACATTACAAGGCTTTGCTAGGCTTGCATGTTTTCAACTCTTGAATTGAAGCTAAATTAAGAACTGAATCAGTTTCTTTGTAATATTATTGTTATAATTAAGAAGATAAGAATCGTTCACAAGCTCTTTAGACACACTTCAACACACTATCTGAAACCGATAATATAAGATAAACTAATTGTTTCTTAAACAATCCCTGAAAAAAGCCATAAAACAAAGAGTCTAAAACTGCTTATAGTGACTACTAAATCCATTTCTCTGATCTCTGGTAATTAGAAGTTTCCTTAGCTTGTATTAATCAGCCTGACATGCCATAATCTTCAACATGATCATAAAGGTTGTAGCTTTCAGACAAGCCCATCTTTCCCACAAGATGCTCATCATCCCCTGCAACACACCAAATCACAACAAATTCTCTGACTGTTACATATGATCCGACTTATACACTAAACCGATGTTAAGACATTCAATTGAACTTACTTGGGTTTGATAGAACTCCTAGCAAGTGAAGATCTGAGCTCATCTCAGGGCTTTGAAAGCAAAGATCTTCAGGCCTAGGACTAGTTGTTGTTGTTGTCGTCCCAATGGCATTATTGTTTCCATCAGGAAGAACAAGAAGACTCTCTGGTCTCTTTCTCTTATCATTCAAAGACTCAATTTCAGTCTCTACCTCAGATTCACCATTGTTGTTACTAGAAGAACCACCACCACCATGTTGTTTCCTCTTGGAACGAGCACGTCGATTCTGGAACCAATTGTAGACATTTTGTTCAGCAATCTGACCGTGTTGGCTCAGCTCTTCGGTTATGTCTTTGATCTTTTGCTTGCTCGGTGTTCCAGTTCCTTGATCGAATATACGCTCCAGAATCTGAAGCTGAACTGGTGTAGGAGTCCATCTTTGTCTAGCAGACATCTTGTTACCTATAGATGACATCAATGGATCTGCATATAGACCTCCCAATCTCCCTCCTGCTTAACAACATCAAAGCATACAAATGAAGTTAAAAGCAGAGTTATTGATGTTAAAATTAAATAAAAACACAAACTTTATAACTCAAGAACAATCAGAAACAAACCAATTCCATGAAAAGGTTTGGTCTTTGCATCAGATTCAAACCGCAAAATTACCCATTACACCAAAGCTAAGAAGAATCACTAAATCAATAAAAAGAAACTCTGAAATTTTACAAAATTCCGAAAAAAAACACTTTTTTTTTCTCTTGCTATGTGAACA